TCCCACTGGAGCAGAAAGAAGCACCGGGCTTAGTCCGATAACCATAGGAACAAGTAGTTAATCCCAAAGATACACGCTGACTTACCTTGCTTTCCTTTCCACTTCACTGTTGAAACAATAAGGGGAATGAAGTTGCTACCACGGTCAGACTTTCCTTTCTTTAGAAAACCATACTGGGTGATTCCCGAAGGAGAGTTGCTACCTTAGTGCCCAAACCTATCACGGTTCTTTCCGAACCTGAAGTAGTTTATTAAACCTAATTAAGGTTACACCGAATTAGGTAACAAAACCAATACCGTAGTCCACTCTAAGCAGAGATTCAGGAGTGAATTTGAAATCATTACTGAACTTCCTTATCGGAACTGGATAGAAACCATATCAGCTCATCAACCGAGGATTGAAATACTGGCTTGACCAGAATCAAAAGTTATCAATGATACCGACAATTGGGAATCAGGGCTTGACTCTCCTGGCAAACGGAGCTACGAAACTAAGCAGCATACTTCGCCTTTAATACCATTAGTCCAGTCCTGTTGCTTGTACGGAGTACGAATAAGGGGGGCCGCCCAGTCTCAAGCGAAAGAGAAAGCTACGCCTCCAATCCCTCATTTGGAATTCTTTCTACCCACTGCACTTGAACCACTGATGCTACCATTGGTGCCTCTGTTTCCCGTGCTTCTTCAACACAGAGAAAGGCAGATTTCTTGAGTTGTTAGCCTTTTTGTTTGCCTTTTTTTCTTTCTGGGGAATGCTTGACTCTAACATCGGCTTTCCCAATCGGTTTTTTGGCATCGGCTCTCTCATATCCGATCCATGAAAAAAAAGAACTACTGGGCCCAAACCTTTTTCAGAGGTAGTGTCAGAGCCCAATCCCTGGTTCACTCCATTTTGTTCACTTCCTTTTTCGGTGGGAGCTCCAGACCGATCTTCCTCGTACGATTGCCCTGACTAAGAGAGGCTGCTTCCTCTATTGTTTCGGATTCGATCCTACATCTCCTCAAGGCGACAGACCATATTCAGTAAGAGGATGGCATTACTGGAACCTTCCATTCAAGTCAAGGTGAGGCAGTGACTTCTTTACCTAAGAAGAACAAATGAAATAAGAATGTGACATTATCCACACAGATTAAAAGACCCACATGCTTCCCTTCGCTATCTTTGTTGGTTATTTGATGTATCCAATCTGGTTCTAACTTGGGTTATCAAAGAGAAGTTCTCCGTCGTAGTTATTAGTAAGGTTCTTGCTTGCTTGGACTTGATCTCTCCACTACAAATGTAGGCATGGAGGAAAAAAAAAGGAAGGAAGAAAACAAGGGATTCTAGAGACAGAGAAAAAGCAGGTCTTTCCTCAGCTCATGTTCACCTGGACTCTTCCCTTGGACTATCTATTAGCAATTAGCAGGACTCTCGTGTACCTTATGGAAGGGAGCTTTTCACTAAATAGGGGTTGACTTCTTAAGGAGCAGATCCCTCTATAGCTGATTCTTTGATTTCAGTACGTCCTCATAGAGCTGCCCCCCACCACTTTTTCTGCACGAATCCAAATTCTCCCAGGCTATGCCCAATAGAAAAGACTATTATGTTGTACCAGCCCTTTAGTGAAGTGGGCCCTCCCCTTGATACTATACCAAATGGACTTATTCTCATAAGAAAAAAGAAAGTAAACGTCTTCCTGCAATTGCTTGAACTTCTGATTCAGACTCTGATATAATTATGTTCTCTGTGTATTCTAGCCCGTAAAGTAGAGCTTTTTTAGGTTTCGTCGATACTGAGACTGGATATTCTCTTTCTCCTAGTCTGGAAACAAAGGTGATTTGGTTTTAGGCAGCCCAAGTCTATCCAATCCAGGAGGTCTTTTTTTTTTAGACGCTACGCTAGCCTCGTTGACGATATCGGCATCGGTAGCATTCCATTAACATTACAATACTGTCCGCGGTAATTTCTCTGTAGTGTAGAAATTAGAAAGAAGCCTTGTGAAAGGCATCTCTTAGGTGATTACGGCCTGGGAAACCTATATAAAAAACCTGTATTTTGCCACTGGATGTGCCTGCCTGCTTCCTTCCCAACATGTGTCTTTCTGTGGTATAAGATGTATCTAGTCAGTCTTGCCCGGAATGGAAGGAATGAGACAGTAAATCAAAGAAGAATTGACTCGATCACAAACTACAAACTAGAAATGAAAGAATTTGCTTATTACTATAGAACTAGTAGCGCAGGCTAGATTAAAGGAAAGGAGAGATTTTTGAATTGAACAAAGACGGTATGCTTGTGGAGTTCTTGCTTTTCTTTTTTGTAACCCATCTTAACCTCTTCTTTCTTGCTAGAACTGGAGAGTTCTATAGCTTTCTTTACTGGCTTGAATGCCCTGTTGAGTAAGATGCCAATATAGGAGATGTAAATATATGTATTTAATAAAAAATATCCGATTCGCATACAAAGGATGCTGGTGGGGAGGGTGGACAAGAAAATGAAAGAACAAACAACCTCTTTTCAAGGAAGTTTTTGCTGTGTTCCAAGATACAAATAAAGAGGGAAAAAGAACCCTAACTGAGAAAGAAAGAGAACAACTATAGAGTAATATAAAAAACCAGACCTGCTGAACCGACTAGTCGCTTCCTGAATGCCTCTTGAATTTAGTAGGGTCTCTTCAGAAGTCTTTGTAGAGCTATGGCTTCAATTGGACTATAGCCCCTAAAGGGGAATCGCTTCAGGAAAAAGAGCTCGAACGATAGCTGGCTCGCCCAAGTGGTAGAGAAAGTGAATCGGTCCCTATAGGAAGCCCTTTCACGAAAATCGGTAACCGGTGCGGTAGAAGAGTCAGAGCCCCTATTTCACTTGACGTTGACTAGCTTTCAATTCAAGATAGAAGAGCCTTTCATGCTTGCTGTAAAGTCTCGGAATTCTTCTAGTGAGATTGTAGACCCAAGAATGCCTAATAGAGCCTACTTCCCACTAGGGTGACAGGTCTTTCCTCTTCCAATTCCGGAGGCTTTCGATCGGACATCTTGACTTGAAAGCTCTCTCTGTGCACTTCTCATCGCCCTTTGCTTGGCGCTAGCTTTCTTCTTTTTCTTTTTTTGAGTTTCGAAAACGGAAAGAACATAGGATAGGATAAGTGAGGATACGGAATGAATGCTCTTCGATGCTAGCTAGGTGTGGACGTTTTACCTAATTTGACAACGGGTTCCAAACCTTAATCTAATCGGGTAAATCACTCTCTTAGGAGAAAGCAATTGATAAGGGAGCTTACGAAAAGGGCTATCAAACGGCTGTGACTTTCAATTGGCCTAGGTTCCCGGTCTGCGCTTGCCATTCTTGCGGATAGGACGACCAAGTCAAGTCGGCTGGTACCATCTATTGAAGAAAGTCAGTTACAATAACAGATGGGGATGGATAGGTCTCTTCCGCTAGCGCTTTAATCAAGAAAACTCCTGCAACAAGAAAATCCCAAGCCCAACAAAGGGCTACTTCAAGAGCAAGAATTGGATTCCCGTCTCGCCAGTAAACTGACTCGGGTGCTTAGTCGACTTTGGCTTGCTTTCTAGAATCATCAATTGACGTTGAGTGCCATCCCATCCGAAACATCCTTTCCAGAAGACGAGTGCCGCCCATAAGACTCATTCGTTCTACTTCCTTTTCGTTGAGCTATTGACTCATGCCTGGTAGTCAGCGTTGGAACTTTCACTGGTATGGGAACCATTGCCCACTATAGACCATATCCCGGATAAAGCGAAGAAGCAAGCGGAAGCAGACTATGACCAGTACAGCAAAAAGTAGGGAAAGAAAACCAACCTCTGAATGGAATCTGATTCTTCTTCAAAGGAAGTCTCAGACTGATTGATGTGAGAAAGACGAAGATGCTGAAAACGATTACCGATTGACTGAATAGTTCCGGCTAGCCGCTAACCCCTTTCTTTATACGACCTTGCAAGAAAACCACTTTCCCGGGAAAAAGGGAGGAAAGCCCTACAAAAAAGGTTCAAAAAAGGCTTCTCGGAACTGCCATAGTTGATGCATCGAATGCTATAGTGCAATAAGACTTGGTTCAGGAACTGAACCGAGCTCACTGCCTCACACCACTGGCATTGAAGAGGAGCTGTGCCAAGAAATAGCAGATATTCATTCTTGCGCAAAGATCGGAATCATACCTCCAGCAGGCATTGTCTTCTGTTACCTAAACAGCTGTCATTTCGACTTTACTGAAAGAGAGACTGATTCTGACTATTGAACATCAGACTTACCTAAACAGAGAATTCTGACCATGATTAGCAGACGCTAAAAAACTCTATCGATTTAAAGCAGACGAGTCTCCAAGTTCCTTACCTTGCAAAGCTATAGCACTAGCCAGGTCAATACCCTGTCCATCCCCAGCAGGAGCAGGAGAAGTAGGAAAATGAGGTCTAATCAACTAGCTCTAAAGCATACTACTCTTTCATTAAAAGCATACTACTGGCAAGATCTTAGAAAGTTCTCCCAAGCATTGAAAAAAGAGAGGCCTTACGAAATGGTTCACAGACAGACTGCTGAGGCAATATCAATCTTGTTATCCCAATGTTATATTCGTATATGAGGCTGCAGGAATCATATCATCTTCTTTTCTTCATTCTTTGCCTACTCTCTTCTTCTTACCGCTCTGTGTTAGCATCTTTTTTCTATTCGTAGCTGCATATCATAGTTTCTTTGTAAGAATAGGTTTTTTCGGAAGAGAAGAAGTTGTTAGAATGCCTCTCAGTGATCCAAGAATTGATCCCAGCAAGTGCTACGATATAGAGTGGGCACTTCTCCTCTAAGAGAGAGAATTGCGGATCTATTATCTATCTTGAAACCGGGCCGTCCAAGCAGAAAAACAGACTTCAAAGAGTAGGGATTAATCTTTGATCCCTCCGTTAGAAGACAAAGAAAGCCCTTCTTTTAAATTCCTCCCAGATACATGGCTTACATACCCGGCTCAACATTCTTGGAAAACAATCGAATCGAGGGTCCGGAAGAGAATTGGCCATTCAATCTTGTAAACTAATCGAGACCGAAATTGGAAAAAGAGATACGAACGGAGAGGAATAACCAATCGATGAAGGAACATGAAACCATTCTGTTTCAATAGAGGTACGAGAAAGGGTTAGGGGCAATAAAGTAGGTGAAGTGGTTGGATTTTGCGAGCTGTTCCAACCACTGCTGGATGTGATTCCAAGAGCCGAACGAGAATGAATACCACACAGAAGAGTCAAGACCAGGCTTCCTAATGGAATGTTTAACCGATCCATTCCGGATCGACCGAATTGGTACGGAAGTTGTAACATGGGAAAACCACGGAAAACACGACTTATTTGAATAACCCGGTGACCTACCAATTGTAGAAGTAGGATCTTTGGCAAGCAAGAAGCACTTAAATAATACAATTCGAGTGTACCATCTTCTTTCTCATTTCGAGGAAAAGGTGCGGGAGGAAAAGGAAACAACGGAGGGATCCGAATCGGACCTAAATGGGAATGACATGAAAAGTGTTTTTCAAAACCTAGCATTAAGGGCGTTACGACGATATACGATAGGAATGGAGAAAAACTCGTGATTGGTGTGGAGGGGAAGATCTGTTTATGATATAGTTCAAGAAAAAGTCGTCTCATTTCTTTACTTCTTCGTTCTTTCTAATTCATTCACTTCAAGGCTGGTTCTGAACGCCGCGTAACATCATCTTCAACCAACCTCCACCGTACGTACCTTTCGGTGCGGCCACTAAAGAATTTCTTATACACTAAACAGCTGCTTATATACGCTTACTAAAAGACTGACTTTCATTCATTAGGCCAGCATGAAACTAAGAAAGAGAGATGTGCCTAAGGCGGCATGCAAGCAAACTGTGCACACTAAGAGAAAAAGAGAGATGTTCGCAATTACTACCACAAGAAAGCCGCCCCCCTACCCTATCTCGTCAGGGGCCCGTCACTTCGTTCGTACCTTCTTGGCTTCCAACTGAACTGACTTTATGGCCTTGCCGCCCGCCGCTAGCAGAAGCTAAGCGCTTGAAAAGCGCGCTAAGAAAGGTTGCTTCTGTCGGCCTTTCTGTGCAACAGTCCACCAATAGCGGAAGAGAGGGTTACCGTACATACAAGACTCTTCCAGTTCTGACGTTAGCTTTTTCTTACCAGTAAAGTAGTACAACAGCTGTATCTTATCTTATAGCCCGGCGCGGCGGGTCGCCTTTTGAATTCAGTAGATAGAAGAAATTGTTAGATAGATAAGGAGTAGATGAGTGAGTGAGTCCTCACTGACCTGAGCGATTTCGATCACCTAGCAGGCCTTTTATTTGGTAGGTAAGATCGCCGAAGCGTATCATCAGATTTGACTACGAAGAAAGGAACTCGAAGTGAGACGGCACCGTCTTATGCAACGCAACGATGGTTGGCCCTCTATCATCTTCTATCCGGTAGACTTGGTAAAAGGGCCCCGACTTCTTTTCAGAATTAGAGTTCGACCGCAGCTGCCCCTTTTTTGGGGGGATCAAGTTCCTTGCCAACTATCGACCCCGATCTCTTTTCATTTGTTTTGGGTATTACCATACTAGCCTTCGTCAATCATACTAAAGCAGAGCACCCAACTATGGCAAGGCCCCCTTCAGGCTTAGGTTAGTCAATCCGGCCCGAGACGCGTTCGTTGACAAAACCGCCGTAGGAATGGAGACCTTTCAATAGAGCGGAGGCGAACTGATCAACGAGAAAGAGGCCCTACTCACTACAAACGAATACACCACAAGATCGAACTGCACTCATGCCTCTCCTGCATCAAGTTGACCGCCCCCCCCCCCGTAGTAGTGATTCTATCAATCATGTACGTAGGTAGGGCCCTCCATTCTGATTGGTATATCATCAAAAAAAAGCCATTTGCACCAGGCGCACTGCGCTTTCCCTTGCCCAGATGTTCGCCTTTCTAAGTCAAGTAATGGTGACCCGCCGAAGACTGGAGCCTCGTAACATGTTGACGAAGACCTCCGAACTGAGGGTTCGATCAGTAGAGGGGACGACTTTGCCTCCCTGGAAGAAGAATAGCCCCGCTCTCTAGCCGACTGATCCCGTTGATCATATAACTGGGAGGGAACGTGTCACATTAGAGGTGAACGATCAGAGATGCCCTCTAATCACCACGATGAGGCTGGTCCCTCTTTTAGTAGACTCCGCTATGAATATGAATGAAGAAATGAATGCCGGGCTCTTTCTTTCACTGCTAACCCCAAGAAGTTTCTTTATGTTGATACTTTCTCTTTCGTCGAGCCCCGAGCTTGTGGTCCTCCTTTGAGTGTGGGTTCAATTGGATGAATCCGTCAAGTCAAGGTCAACGTACGTAGCAGCAAGGATGGTGCATCGCCTAGTTCTTTATCGTTCTCGCTCGGGAGCCAAAACGAAGACGCCTGCTACCTACTGTACTGGACCTTCGACCAGGCATTCTACCCTTGTCGAATCGGAACCAACCACCACTGCATTGCGCTCGAACAGTTGAGCGGCCGCCGGCCAGCTACTTCCGTACACAGATATAGATTCATTCTTCGTACCTGGTCCAACCTCACAACCCTTCGCGGGTTGGTCAGAAGTCAGTCTTCTTTGGTAAGACGGAATTGGACAAAGAAAAGAGAGTGCTCGACCGGAACAACGGCCAACAAAGACCGTAATTACATAGATAACCGCTCCTCCCTTTCTCCGTCTTTAAGGCGAACCGTATGGCGGCTGGAAAGAAAGACGACCTTACCTTCTCGTAGATGGTGTCAGTAAGAGCGACTTTAGTATCCCCCGTTGACCTTCTTTTGTAGATAGAATCTTCAATGAGTGGAAACAATCAACCTTACTAATAAAGGTGCTTGTTGAGTAAGGCCGGCTTTAGAGCCCAAGCCCTTTGTATAGGTTGGGTGCTTGAGCGCATCTTTCTCATATCGAGAAAGGCTTTCCTTGAGTTTTCAATAAGGGGCGCGTTAGCTAGGCCGTTTTCTTGCAGGAGTGCTAAAGCGCGTCCTTACGTTTTCTTCGCTTGCTCCGCAGTACGAGCCTCATACAGAGCCGCGCCCCTTTAATATGATGAGAAGAAGAGGGGCCGCCCTCTTTTCTTTTCCGCACCAATCCTTATTTACTACTACATCTTTTTTTGGGTGTATAGCTCAGTTGGTAGAGCATTGGGCTTTTAACCTAATGGTCGCAGGTTCAAGTCCTGCTATACCCAAACCTACCTTACACTAGATAGTAAGGATGCGTAGTAGCGTTCAAAGATCACTCTTTGGCCTTTAGACTCGCTTCAGCTACTTCGCCCCTTAAGTGACAAGGGGGTGAGGTAAGTCATCATAAGTGGTTGACTGGCTCGGTCATCGATAGGCCTCTCCTTATTCATTCTATAGGACGGGGCTGCGGACCAACAATCCAGCAAAAGGGCTTAAAAGCTCCTTTCTCAAACCTTCCCCTTTTTTGAATAATAAGGTAAGCATCAAAGCCCAGCAAACCTAACCTATACAAAGAGCTCTTTTCAGCCCCTACTCCTAACAAGTGAAAGTAGCTGGCACCCACCATACCTTGCTTCGGGGCCGATCTCTTGTATCGAAGCTAATATAAAGAAGAGAATTCTATAATTATTCTTTATATTAGCTTTGTTCCACCACAAATGGATTTCCGCATAGATTGGATAGAGTCCCCTGATCTCGACATCCAAGCACGAATCCCTTGAGCGCTTCGGCGGCGGATAGCAGCATGGGCAACTGCGGCAAGCAGCCGATTCTTATTGCATTCACCAAGATAGTCTTGCTCGCTCCTGAACTCTGCGGCGAGTTCAGCCACCACCTCCGGGCCTGAGCTCTGCTCGAGCGTAGTCAGCCAGCTTCGTGACTTTGCTTAGCTTCCAGCGTTGCAAAGGGAGAACCTTTCACTATCTAGGCGCCCGTCAAGGAGGGGTCCCACGGAGTTCTTCCCCGAAGGTCAAGCCGTAGTCCCTGTCCCTCGGAGAAGTGGAAGGAGTTAGGAGGAGGGAGCGCCCTTTGCCCTAAGAAATAGGCGGCTTCGCCTTCAAGCCGTCAAGAAAATCGAGCTAATATGTGATCATGACAGTAGACTGATGCATAGGTTTTTTTTACGGCCTTTTGATCATGATGCATCATGAACGTGCCAATATGTGATCGGGGTGAGCGGTGGTTAGATATAGGGGCGAGCCATGAGCTTACTTCGAGTATTTATGACTCTGGTGGCAACACGTGACAGGCGAATGACATGATTCTCGAGGAGTTAGACGACGGCCATGTGATGATGCATCAAATAGATGCAAGGGTTGATGACTCAGTAGGTCCTTGTATGGACTGATTCAGTTTCCCACTGGGAGAGCTTTAGAGGGAATAGGGGTGGACATCTATATGGGCTTCATGTGATTCGAAGCCAACCATATGTATTGCAAGAAACTCCTATGTGTAGCTATGTATACCTAATGAAAGCCTTAAAGAGCCTCTTAACACTTACCTGCCTAAACCAAGCAAGATTCAAGAATCAATCCATTACCAGCAAGATAGGGCTCAGCCAAAAAAAGTGAGCGCCCCTGCGCGAGCTGCAATCAAACTAAAGCGCGTTAGCTAGGCCGTTTTCAATAAGGGGCGCGTTAGCGCTTGACTAATAAGATAGAAAGGGCTTTTCTCGCTTGTTTAGTAAAGTCAAGCTTTGGCTTCGTTCCACTTCCTTAACGGACCTACGGACTAGCTAAGGTTGACTTACCATTTGAGTCTTTCTAACGCGTTTTTCAGCTTGCTTTGGTCGAGTAGCTTTCTTCCTTCGCTTTTGAATGAAATCAGCAGTCAGAGTCAGAGTCAGTCAGTCTTCTCTTTCTTTCCTCTGCTTATTCCGCCCAACGAATCGGCTTTCCGCTCGACCAAAGAGTCAAATGTCCGGTTAGGATATGTGGGGAAGAAGCTCCTAGCATATTTCAGGATGACTTGAGTTTCATATTCCAGTCTTGCAAGATCCGAATAGGATTGAAAGGCTATGAATGTCGAATGGTCCGCCCGCCCCTGAATAAGCAGTAAGGCGTGGGCGCGTTGGAACGATCCCGCTTTGAAAGCTCAACCTCGGGAGAATTTCTTTCGCCGGTCCAATGACTTGGCATACAAAGACGAGTAGGGTTCTCCTCCATGTGGTGCACTCCCGCTTCTTCATACCCGGAAGAAGTTTGAGCAGCTCAAAGGGACAGCTTTTTGCTGCTGGATGAAGGTCTTACGTCGGCTAAGAAGACGGAAAATTCCATCTTTTTTGCGGTCTTGGAGATCGGGGAGATAAGAGTTCGCCCTCCCTATTTTGAGTGGGTGCTCGCAAGGTCAAAGAACTTCATTCTATTCTTTCATTAATACAGGGGTAGGGGGAATAAAGAGTTTCAGTGATTTACACCTCGAAGTAGAGTGTGTAAATACCGGATGCATAGGTTGAGTCATTCGCTAAACAACTCTTTTGTTGGGCGATCAACTAGGTGCTCCTACCCAAGCGGACTAATGAATGCCAACTGGAAGAACTCACTTTCCTATCGTTCGGTAGGAGATCCCTTCTTGTGGCTTGAAAATGATTACCTCTTGCTAATGGGGAGAGATCTTTCATTAGGGTTTGATGCTTCTCAATGGAGATCC